CAGGAGGAGAAGCTTGACGAGGCTGCTTTTTGAGAAGAGGCGGGGGGAAGAATGCCATCCCCACACACCGGCACAGATGGACGCCTGGCTGGATGCCAGGTGGGTGGGAGGCAGGCAGAAGCGGCCAAGGGAGAGCTGCCTCGGTTGGGGGCGAGGGGAGTACAAGGGAAACTTTTGGGGTGAAGGGGGGCGAATCACCCTGTGGCTGGAAGTCGCCTGAGAGCAGGTGACGCCGCACGGCTGACTGGGGGGGGGCGAAGAGAGGCGGGCTGGCGCGTCGCTGCTGATCCTGACTGCACCAGCCAAGCCCCCCAGGGAGCAGAGGATCGGGAGGTGAGGGTGGGGCTGCGTCTCGCTTCCGAGTGATGTGCAACGCGTGCGCGCTTCGCGCGTGTGCGCGCACACACTCCAGGCCCCCTCCCTTTCCCCAGGGCCCCCCCAGAAGGAAGGGGTTAGCTACGGCCCTGAATGGGTTTGATTGGACATTATGTATTGATTGTGATTGGATGTAACATACCTAATGTGATTGGTTGTTTTGAAACATTGTAGGTGTGGCTATCTCAGCCGAAGTGTATATAAGTTGCCGTTTAGCCTATGGAAGTTGTCTAGCTGGTCTAGCACCTACAAGGCTGAGCCTTCATGCTGTTATCACTGAAATAAAGCTGAAATCACTTGTTGAACTGTTCCTCCGAGTTAAGTGTCATACTTAACACAATGTATGTATGGTTTAAATTGTCACCTATTCTGTGCCTTAAAGCAAAATAGATTAGAGCCAGCAGCTACAGGTAGGTTAGAAATGTAGATAGATAAGCAGATAAACATGCATGCTAGTATGGGAATTATTCCCCAAGCCCCTGTCTAGTTCAGTCATGTGGACAGCAGTCCCTTGGAAATCAATGGATGCTTAACTACATACTAGATTATGGACTAAGTCTGCTAATGTTGAGAAAAGTTCCTGTTTGCCTTTTTCAATAGTAAGAGCCAGCTTTAATATGGGGGGAATCTTGTATTTCAAAGAAGACATTTTTCATAAAAGGAAACCATCACTACTTTTTCTAATTCAGCTTGTTCCAGTTTCTCCCCACTGTAAATGAGACAGTTGTTACATTTTCCTAGCATATAAGAAGGCTTCCCAAAAGTACAGATCTCACTTTAGGGAGGCATGGAAATTGTGATGTAACAGCAATGGTACTTTTTAAGACTTCATGTTTTGCTCTTTTCATTCGTATCTAATTATAAACCCGGTGAAGTCCAACTTGGAGATCTCCCTCTCATTAGAAAAGTCGGCCTTTTCGATGTGAGAGCTGGGGCATCCCACACTGGATAGCCAGGCTTTCCTTTAAGGAGAAAAGAAGAGGGGCAGTAGAGAAGAATCCTGTAATATTTGTTATGTAATATTCATTCTGCTGACACACTTTGGTGTATTTAACGGTGTTCTTTTCTACTTCTATAAAGTTGAACAGTCTTCTTCTGCAGTGCCGAATGTTGTTTTCCAGCCTGCTCCTTTATGCTAGGGTAGCAGCTCCTAAAATCATGCCTTAGGTAACTAGCACTGGAGCTGGCTGCAGATGTTAACCCCATGCAAGCTCTGGTACAACCTAGAGAGTGGTGTTTTGCCATGGTGCGTTCCTGGCCAATGTGAGCTCCGATGGGATTTGCAAAAGACTTTGAGGGAGAAGCCCTGTGTATTGAGCCGCCTTCCCCTGCCCATCACGGACCCCGACCCTGCCCCGGTTCATCAGGTCGCCCTTCTGGAGTCGCTTCTGGAGCAGCCAGTCCATGTGTGGGAGGTGGCATGGCACATGGACTGGGACTGGGTCCTCTGCCCTGTTCTGGACTGGGTGAGGCGGGCCAAAGGGGGGCCGAATTTACAGTTTTTTTCTCCTGCAAAGACAAACTATCGTCCCACAAGGGCTGTCTGATGTGGGGAGGCTGAGTGGTCATTCCAGAGCCTCTACAAAGCCGGGTCCTCACAGCGCTCCACAAAAACCACCTGGGGATCGTCCGGATGAAGGCGCTGGCAAGGAGTTATGTCTGGTGGCCATGATTAGACCAAGACATTGAGGACACTGTAAAGCACTGTACGAAATGCCAGGAGACATGGCCCATGCCCCCCAAATTTGCCGGTGCGCCCCTGGGAATCGTCCCACAGGCCCTGGGCCAGGTTACACCTGGATTTCGCGGGCCCATTCCAGGGCCAGCTGTTCTTTATCCTGGTAGATTCCTACAGCAAATGGCTGGAGGTGGTCCCAGTTCCCTCCACCTCCTCACGGTCTGCCATCTGGGCCATGTGGAGGATCTTCAGTGCTCAAGGCATCCCGGACTCCTTGGTGACCAACAACGGCTCGGCTTTCACATCCAAGGAATTTCAGACCTTCACTGAGTACTACGGCATCCACCACATCAGGTCGGCCCCCTTCAATAATGAACGGGCAAGCAGAACGGATGGTACGAACCACCAAAGAAGCGCTCCAGTGGATGGATACTAGGGACTGGGAGTACAAGTTGGCGGCATTTCTCTTTGGTCAACGGACAACACCCCACACCGCCATGGGTCATAGCCCCGTGGAACTGCTCCTGGGCCGCTGCTTGACCACCAGGCTGGATCGCCTCCACCCAAACCGGGCACCTGAAACAGAACCCATTCCCAAGATGCAGGAGGCTTCACACGGGTTCTTCCCGGAGGACCCAGTTTACGCGTGCAACTACACACGGGGCCCACCATGGATCCCACTCAGGTAGTAAGGGTGACAGGACCTCGGTCCTACGAGGTCTCCTGCGAAGACGGCCAAGTCCTCCGGAGGCACACTGACCAGCTATGCTGGAGAGTTTTGCCCCTGGATCTGGAGGATGGGGACTACGAGGAACGTGACACCCAGGAGGCTGCAACGCACTCGCCACTCAAGGACTCGCCAGCCTTAGCGGATGCTTTGCCCGGACCAAGCACCAAGGAATTAACACCGGACAGGGAGCTCGCCCCACGGAGACCCCCGCCAACTGAGACACCACTGACAACTCCGGTCAGTGCAACCCCGGGCACATCAGAACCAGTTCCCATGGCAGCTCCTGAGCTTCGCTGCTCCGCTAGGGAGCGAAAAGCGTCAGCCTATCTTAGAGACTATATGTGTGTGTGTGCTTTGGACCAAGGGGGGAGGGGTGTTATGTATTGAAGTCAACCGCGTGCAAGGCCGGGCCTCCATGCGGTCGTGCAAAACCACCGAGCTTCGCATCCAAGAACAATGGCCCAAGTGGATCCTGGCCCCTGGCTATCCGAGGGCTAGGATCCTAGCGAGGACCTATGGAATGCCTGGCTAATGTAAATAACCTATCACTGGTGTGGGGTGTGTTTTGGGTGTGGGTTTACTGGGAATATAAGCTGGCCTGTGAGCCGGTACTTTCGTCTTGTTCTTCACCTTAAATAAAAGTATGAGCTGAAATCACTGCATCAGTCTCAGTACTTTTCAGACTCAGTTTTGGCTTCTTACACAGCAGCACCCTTTGGGCTATTTATTAGTATATAGGACAAGCAGAGCAAAGCAAGCTCTCCCCCATGTTTTATGACCAGGAAGAAAAGCAGCTGATCCATAAAGACAAAACTGTTTTTGATTGATATAAAAGGTAAAGGTTCCCTTGCTCGAAAGCCAGTCAAATTCGACTCTAGGGTTGTGGTGCTCATCTCCGTTTCAAAGCTGAAGAGCCAGTGCTGTCCGAAGACGTTTCCGTGGTCATGTGGCCAGCATGACTAAACACCAAGGCGCATGGAACGCTGTTACCTTCCCACTGAAGTGGTACCTGTTTATCTACTTGCAATTTCTTGCTTTCTTTCTTTTCTTTTTTTAAAGCTCCCGGAGGGGATTTTTTTATTTTTTTATAATACTACACAAACTACAAAGAAAAAAAAGGAGGGGGAACTACAACTAGGGAGAAAGGAAAGTAACCCACAATATACTAAAAGCCCAAGAGTAGGAGATCATTACCCTGTTAAACTACGGTTAGTAATAAAAAAGCTGTTATTAAACAATATA